CATGAAACTGTATATTGTTGTATATACTGTAAATAGACTTTATATAATAAAATACATTCAAAACCCATATATAGTAAACAGTGTGGGACTTCACTATCACTGTATGAGGTAAGAATCAACAGCGTTTTATCACATTTACACAACACTTTATGAATACAAGTAATGAACAAATCTGAAATATGGCAGGGAATGTGTTTCCTTTTTTAGTTTTGATTTTGAGCAGCAAATTTGAAGTTTCATATTGGTGCTCACCAGGAATGCATGAGCAAATTTGCACTAATTTTCACTTGAACGAATAGTGAAAAATCTTGGGATTTTTTTCTGTTAAAGTTTCAAATAGTGTGTAAATTGAATACACTTCATCTTCAGCATGTTAAGTGCCAGTTTCGTAAGTGGCCCCGTCCCGGCCACGCCCCGTCTCGGCCACGCCCCTTTCCACTTTTTTCAGCACGAGCCACGCACATCCCTGAAAATGAGGAGCTGGGCCACGCCCCTTTCCACTTTTTTCATCACTAGCCACGCTCATCCCTGAAAATGAGGAGCTGGGATTTAATGTGTGGCGTCTGAAAAGACATCTAAATACGTCTTTGGGAGTGAATGAGTTAAGGCGCTCAAACCCAGGACACTGTGACTGGAAGAGCAACACTCTATTCGTGGTGCCAGCTGAAAATAAGTATATGCAGGCTTGCAACAAGCAAACATAAATACATTGACTACACCAGCCGCATCGAAAATAAAAAAAGGGCGCAAGGTTTCGAGTGTGATGAAATAGCATTACATTGAATAAACCAATGACATCAGTTACGTGATTCTCTTGGAAACGACACGCTCTCAATCGGGGCCTTATTTGGCACGCCCACTCTTGCTCTAGACACCCTCCGACACCTCGGCACATCTCATTAAATTGCTAATGAAAACCCCATGCAGAAACACCAGAGCGAACACCAATTCGAACTGATAAACTTTTTAAAGTTTTGATACGGATATGGTAATGTTTCATCGGACTCTGCTGTTGAATCGAATTGTCTTGCCCTGTTTATTTCTTTCAGCTCATCAGACACCCAAAATATGTGGCTTGTAAACGTATTGCAGTATTTCTCAGCATGGATGATGAAGTACACACCGAGGAAATCATCAAAGATGTGTTTGAAGTGGGTAAAAGCTGCTTCATCCCCAGATATGACCATAGCAGCAATCACATGGACATGCTGAAGCTCAACAGTATGCAGGACATGACCTCATTGCCCAAGACGTCTTGGAATATCCTACAGCCCGCCGAGGATGACAAGAGCAGAGAAGATGCATTTTCTGGAGGTAGAGACTGCAAAACTGTTTTGTTTTGTTTTTTTGTTGTTTTTTTTGTTTTTTTTTACCCCTGAGTCTGAAAATGGCAAAAATAATTCACAAACTAGTCTGTCCAGCGCTATCGTTTGTCTTTTAGCCCTATAATAACTTAACCATAAGTGCACGTTTGAACCTGTATGACTTCATTTGCAACAAACGCTAACACTCACTTTTTACCAATATTTTCTAGGGGGTCTGGATCTCATTTTGATGCCCGGTCTCGGGTTTGACCTGTCTGGAAAGCGTCTGGGCAGGGGCAAGGGTTTCTATGACACTTACCTGGAGCGCTGCCTCCGGCACCCCAGAGGGAAGCCCTACACCATCGCTTTGGCCTATAAAGAGCAACTGTGTCAGGATATCCCTGTTGACGGCAATGATGTGCTCATTGATGAAGTCCTTTATGAAGATAAAAATTAAGCATTTTGGTTATTTATGCTGCTCAGCATAAATAAACAAAATGTTTAATTTGCACTGTTTCATGCAGTTGCGTGGATCTTTGCATTAAAACAGCAGGATGACAGAGGTGAGTATGGCTGTGACTCAGCAGGTCATGTGTACTGATGATCCAATCTGCAGTGTCCTTGAGTTTATGCTTACCCAGAAGTCATTCGCTCGTTCAAAACGCTAACTGGTACAACAGAACTGTAACTCATGCAGGGATGTGCAGGCCGGTGAGGAAGAGTAAAAAAAGTAAACAATAATTAAATACAATTATTTTCGATCACGTTCTCTGGTCTGATTTGGTTTTATTTTAAGTCTAATATTCATTGTGAAAATTTCCTGTTCAAGTACATAAATTACTTACATCAAGGCACCAAATGCGAGACCGTGCAGCCTGTTTTATTTGAGATTGTGCAATCCCTGACTGAAATCAGAGCTAGCACAGCGCAACGGCGCCATCTATTGCTAGAATTCTGCTACTAGAGATGGCACAACACAGGACGCTTTCTTGGTTTGTCGAGTTGCTGTTCTTTTCAGGTCACGGTCACCTTGCATCCGGAAAGTATTCACATCGCTTCTTTTTCTCCACATTTTATGTTCTTGTCTCATTTCAAAATAAAATAAATCACAATTTCCCCTTGAAAATTCGACACACAACATACCCCATAAAGTGGATGAAGTGGAAACTATCGTCAGCATTGAAGGAAAGATGAACATAGCCATGCACAGAGACATCCTGGATGAAAACCTTTTTCAGAGTGCTCAGGGCCTCAGACTGGGGCGAAGGTTTACCTTCCAAAAGGACAATGACCTAAGGACACAGCCAAGATGACAAAGGAGTGGCTTCAGGACTGCTTCTGTTTTTTGAGTCTTCTAGTGTCCCTTTAGGGGCTCTACCTTTAAGGCAAAAGGATGATAAAACATTCTGGCTTCAGCACACTGCAATTCAACCGGTGTTCAAAGTTAGGGGATGATATAAAAGCAGATTGTCAGTGTTGCATTAACAGTACTAAGTAATAAAAAGCCTCTGTGGTCTAAGATTGTTATAATGGGGTGTCACCTGGATTTGACCCTGATTGGTGTCTATTTGTAATTGAAACCACGGCCTTAGGTACTGATTGGAGTTGACTGGTTCTCCTTGGAACATTTTCCTCGGCATCATTTTCCTCCTCGGTTCCAAAGAGAATAAGATAAGAAAACCTTTATGTGTCTCACAATAGAGAAATTCCCAATTTACAGCAGCAAAATTATGAAAGGGAGAAAGGAGAAGACAATTAAACTGCCTAAGATAGGCAAAACTCTCACATAAATTCCCAATTTACAGCAGCAAAATTATGAAAGGAGAAGACAATCAAACTGCCTAAGATAGGCAAAACTCTCACACGGTGGTATTTGATAAAAACATGTTTTTCCTCATAACTTGGTCTCCACTTGAGTTTTATGGTTCGTATTATTTAAAACGGATAACATTAATTCAGATTCCACATCATGTTACATCTTTACAGTACTTAAATGTGTGCCGGTCACATGGGCCACTTGGTTAATCATAAATCCGTGATGACACGTGCTCACATGGGCGACACGGGCAATTGGGTTCATTAACATTCAAGTTAATTTCACATGTTTTGGTACAAGCTGCCAGAGAGACGAGCTGCACATTTTTTTTTTCAAATTTATTTAAAAGAGTTTTCATTTCACTCTGTTTGAATTAAATCTCGTGTGTGTGTAAACTTATCGTCCATTCAGTCTATCAAGTTGAATTTGTCAGCTGCTTGACAAAAAATATGGCTATTCCCCAAAATGTAACATAACTCAACTCAACTCAACTAAACTGTATTTATAGAGCACTTTCAAACAGCCATCGCTGCATACAAAGTGCTGTACATGGAGCAATTCAACATATACAACAAACAGTAAAGCAAATCGGTAATAAAGATGGTAGAAAGCACCGAACAGCAAAACCAAGAGCAAATCTAAGTCATGCTGAGTCATAAACATACATACAACATACATATACAACATACAACAACATAAGAGATGAGACGAAAAGCCAAGTGTCCTTCCTCCAATCTGGAAGACAAGGCCTCGCCAACTAGTCATGTGCGTATTGAGTTGCACAAATCTCTCTGGGTTTTCTAATTTCTGTACGGTGAAGGGAAACAGGCCAAGAAGATTTGGCCCGATAATACTGTCCGTTTCATATACTGTAGTGGATGTATTAGGTGTATTCTAATCCAACGCTGTATCATTATACTGTCAATAATATACTTCCCGCTCACCAATTTTGGAGTCGTGACTGGGAATGGTTCATGAGTTTGTGGTTGGTGCACAAAATTATTGTTTTTACAGTGTAAAGATGTCATTTTAATGACCGTTTATAATCAATAATTACAACCATATAATTTCCAAATATATTGCAGTCCCGAAGGTAGCTACACATGTGAGCAATTTATTGAAACACGACAATATGCTTTTTCTAAATACTTAAAAAATAATACAGAGAAAACTGAGGTTACCAAGTTGGCTTGGCCACGGCAAGCCTTTCAGTTTTTCATGTTGCCACCAAATTACCCAGTAATAGCCCACCACTGATGTTGAAAAAAATTTACACTACGGGTGTTGAATTAACACCAGCATATATACAGGCTTGATTTGTATCTTAAACACTTTTGGGAAACCAACATGATATTGTATCACAGTTTGTGTCATAATATCAGACCAGCTAACATAACGTGAAGTTGACTGCGGGGGAGGATCATAATATCAGACCAGCTAACATAACGTGAAGTTGGCTGCGGGGGAGGGGGGGCGTGGTTTCAGTGTGATCGATTACTTTAGTGGCAGATGACCAGGTGCATACGTGAGTGCGTGTGTTCGTCATTCTTTACCATACCATCCACAGTCAGTGTTTCATGAAATGAAATTCACACCTCTCCAGAAAATGCCCATCACACTCATAATCAAGCAGGAACAAATCAAAATAAAAAGCAACATTTGGCTGATCTTAATTTACTTGATAATGCCATTTTCTGTGTAGTGGCTTTGCTTTTGTGTCCTATCTCATAGTCTACTTCTATCTCATGCTTTGATTCGCTAACTAACGGCTAATCCCAGTGATCATTTCTCACAGACGGCTGGTCGACACCATTTTGCATACTGAGATCAATGGCTCATTCATTCAAATCACATCTAAAAAGCACACTGACAAAAACAAGTCTCTTAATTCTTCACAATTCTAAATGTTGCTTTTTTTGCACTAAGCATTCTTTATTATAAGTATGAGCATCTATTTATTAAGAGCATAAGTATATCTTTATAAAGAGCATAAGCATTGTTCATAGCAAGCAGAATCAATTCACCATTATTAACACGCAAATGTATGATAACTAAACCTAAAATACATAATTATTCCTTCACTTAGTTTATATTATGGTGTGTGCGCAAGATTGGTATGTGTGTGGATTTTATTTAATGAAACTATGACTGCCGATGTTATGTTATGATGGTATGATAAAATGTTCAGTCACATTATTGGCTTAGTGTGGTGTGAAAATAATGACTTTAACGTTGACTATCAGTATTTCAGAGTTTGCTTTTAGATCAATTGTGCATTCATTCTTTAAATATCGAGTTGATTAAAAAAAAACTCGGGATAGGTATCAAAGGGTGGCATCCATGTGAAAATGGTGGAAAAGAACAGATATTAAAATTTCCCCCTTGGTATGTGGGTGGTCAGGGGGATGGCCCAAGAATGATAAGTGTAATGTCGCCCCTGAATTCTATGTAAAATGCTTTGGATAAACACAAGTTGAATGTGTGGTTCTTTGTAAGACTGTAGTCCATGAGCTGTTTTCTGGTTATTCATGCCAGTTCAGTTGGGCAACAAAGGCCAAGTCAGGGTGGCATTACATAAGGTCCCCATGTGTCACACGTGTGTCGAGCTAAATCGAGGGGTGGGCGGCCAAAGAAGATCGAAAACCTCTTTGTTGGTCTCATTTCTTTCCTGTGTGACTTGGCTCGAAAGCAAAAGCCCATAAAGAAACATAGAAGCTTGGTGACAATCTGCAGGTTATTACCATGGTAACAATAAAACTAGAGAACTACTCCCTAATTCTTTTTTTTTTTTTTTTTTTGTGAAACCACTGCACTACTGTTGCAGGTCATTGTGTGACCTGATTCAATCTTTTTGTCGTGCTATTTGCGCAACTTGAACTGACCCACAGAATGTTTACATCCAAGAGTCGCCCCTCCCACAGTGACATGGGTAAATATTCAATAGTAATCTGAACTGAGCTGGAGGAGGTGGAAACATCTGGAAAAGCTTAATCAACCAGCAGCCAACTCAATGAGCTCAGCTGGTTCAGTAGTTAAAAAAAAGGTTCTGGTTCAGTCTATGGCAGGGGTGGAGAAACATTTTAAAGAATCTGGAGGGTTAAAGAATTGCTACAAAAGCTTTGTATTTGATGAACACCGTGAATTGATTCAAGCCTATCACCTGCCATGTGAATGATGGGAAATTATCTGGTGTTAATGAACCCTTTTTTGATTATTTTAGTACAGTATAAAAATGGTCATAAATGTCTCCCATGAGTTATTTTGCAGTTTCTGAGTGAAACGTGACACTTCCTGCTGCCCACCTATGAGAGAAGACTGGAACAAAATAATTAACAATACGACACCGGTTTTTAGTATGCTTTATCCATCCATCCATTTTCCAATCCGTTTTATCCTCACAAGGGTCGCTGGGCATTTCTGGAGCCTATCCCAGCCGTCTTCAGGCAGTAGGTGGGGGACACCCTGAACCGGTTGCCAGCAAATCGCAGAGCACACAGAGACGAACAACCATCTGCGTGAGTGTGAATGGTTGTTTGTCTATGTGTGTCCCCGCATGGTGATCCGCGCAAACAACCATCCGCGCTCACACTCACACCTTGGGACAATTTAAAGTGTTCAATCAGCCTACCATGCATGTTTTTGGAATGCGGGAGGAAACCGTATTAAACCCACGCAGGCTCGGGGAGAAAATGCAAACTCCACACAGGGAGGCCGGAGCTGGAATTGAACCTGTTACCTCTGCACTGTGAGGTTGATGTGTTAACCACTGGACCACCGGGCCGCCAAGAAGTCAAGTATGGTCTTTGCACATGCCATGACTCGAACCAGGATTGCTGCGACCACAACGCAAGGTACTAACCACTACACGATCACGGTCTCAATTAAAATCCATTTCTGTCATTTCAGATTCAAATTAGCTGTGACAGGCATCCAGGTACTTTAGGAATAGTAATTGGCCAAAGTTGGGAACAATCTGTTCGACAATCAGCAATTTCATTTTTGAGCATGTGACAAGGGAAAATTTAATCTCTGAAGCAGCTTTTAACCTTTATAGTACATTGCCTTAACCTCTGTGGTATAATGCTGCATTCAATGAAGGTGGGAATTCTGGCTTTTCCGACCTCTGAGCTGGACACGTGGACT